CTCTCCCCCCCCTTGCCCCCCTCCTCTCTGTCTCCCTGGCAACGCTCAGTGCACATCCTGGAAAACTTTCCCCCAACCTGCTCTGGGCAGCTCCAGATCCATGCTAACCTGATTAGGTGTCTCTGGGGCCTTGGCTGCCTAATCACATTAGATGGCACTAATGGGCACGGGGACCCGTGGTGGGGAGAGAGCAGTGAAACAGAGTGTGTACTTAGTGATAATTATACTTGCTTTTGTGGCATTGATTTATGTGTGTGTGTCCCCCCCCCCTTTTTCCTTGTCCCTTCCCATGGCTCTGGGAAGCCATTCGGAGGAAGGAGAACGGCTGGTACGACGAGGAGCACCCGCTGGTCTTCCTGTTCCTGGGATCTTCTGGAATAGGTAACCCTGGCATGTGGGGAGAGGGGTGGAGAGCAGGGCCCTTCCCCACCCACCCATGGAGCTGCTCCCAGGCTCGTGGAATAGATTCATGGACTGGTTTGGGTTGGAAGGGACCTCAAAGCCCACCCAGTGCCACCCCTGCATGGGCAGGGACACCTCCCAGCAGCCCAGGCTGCTCCAAGCCCCATCCAACCTGCCCTTCAACACCCCCAGGGATGGGGCAGCCACAGCTTCCCTGGGCAACCTGGGCCAGGCTCTCCCCACCCTCACAGCCCAGAATTTCTCCCTCCCATCTCAGCTCCAGCTCCCTCTGCCAGCTGGAAACCCTTCCCCCTGCTCCCATCCCTCCCTGCCCTTGTCCCAAGCCCCTCCCCAGCTTTCCTGGAGCCCCTTCAGGCCCTGGAAGCTGCTCTCAGCTCTCCCTGGAGCCTTCTCTTCTCCAGGCTGAACACCCCAACTCTCCCAGCCTGTCTTCATAACAGAGGGATCCAGCAGTGATACCCCCTCCCCATGGGTGCATTTGGGGGGAAAAATGGGTGTATTGGTACCAGGGATGCAGGGCAGGTGGAGGGTGGACAGAGCTGCTCTCACACGAGTCTTTGCTTTGGAACAGGTAAAACAGAGCTGGCCAAGCAGACAGCCAAGTACATCCATAAGGACATCAAGAAGGTGAAGGCTCTTCCCATGGCTTCCTGCCATCCCCTTGGGATTTGGTGATGTGGTGGGTTTGGTGTCCTGGTGACAGGGTGGTCCCTGCTGGGTGTGACCATCATCCCAACATCCTCGGGCTTGGGAACGTGGGATTTAAACCTCCATGACTGACAGACTGAGAGTTGTGGGGAGGGAAAGTCCTGGAAATCCTCCTGCACATGTTCCTGGAGGCAGCACCTGGCACGTTGGCCTGGGATGGACACTGGAGATGGAGTCATGGAACCTCAGACTGGTTTAGGTGGGAAGGGACCTCAAATCTCATCCACTCCCACCCCTGCACGGGCAGGGACACTTCCCAGCAGCCCAGGCTGCTCCAAGCCCCATCCAACCTGCCCTTCAACACTGCCAGGGATGGGGCAGCCACAGCTTCCCTGGCCAACCTGGGCCAGGCTCTCCCCACCCTCACAGCCCAGAATTTCTCCCTCCCATCTCAGCTCCAGCTCCCTCTGCCAGCTGGAAACCCTTCCCCCTGCTCCCATCCCTCCCTGCCCTTGTCCCAAGCCCCTCCCCAGCTTTCCTGGAGCCCCTTCAGGCCCTGGAAGCTGCTCTCAGGTCTCCCTGGAGCCTTCTCTTCTCCAGGCTCAACACCCCAACTCTCCCAGCCTGGCTCCAGAGCTGCTCCAGCCCTCCCAGCATCTCCGGGGCCTCCTCTGGCCTCTCTCCAACAGCGCCGTGTCCTCCCGGTGCTGGGGACCCCAGAGCTGTTCCCAGCCCTGCAGGGGGGTCTCAGCAGAGCAGAGCAGAGGGGACAATCCCCTCCCTGGCCCTGCTGGTCCCGCTGCTGGTGACACAGCCCAGGACAAGGTGCCTTTGATGGGCTATCAAAGCTTCTCACCCCCCAACACCCGAGCCCTTCACCCCAGGACTGTTCGTCGCTTCCTGCTGGGTCCTTAGGGCTGGAATATTTGGGATCCCAACGCCCAGAGCTGCTGCTGTGGGTTGGTTCATGAGTTCCAGTGACTCCTGGGTGCTGGTGGCTCCATGTGGAGATGGTTCAGGGCTCCCTGTGGTTTAAAGCATTTAAAACTGGGCTCCTCAATTCCCATCTCACCCTCTGCCTGCGGGACGGGCCCAACTCCCTCCTCCCGGGGAAAGGCAGGGCAGGACCCAGGGCTTGGAGCTGGGAAGAAGGAGGAAACACAGGCAGAGCTGCCTCCTGTGCCCACATCCTGTGAATTCCTCTCCCCCACATCCTCCAGCAGGGAGGGCACTCGGGGTAAAACCCCACGTGCAGAAGGAAGATCAAAAACGGGGCCGTAAAAAGCGGCGGCTCTGGTTTCTGTCCCTCAGCCCTCCCTAATGACCTGCCAGGACCAGCAACCCCGGCTCCTGCCTCCCCAGCAGCTCCATCCCCACCTCCACACCTGCAGCTGCTCAGACATCAAAGGGAGGAATCAGTTCAAGGCTGAACTTGGGGGTAATTTGGTGGGAAATGGGAATTTTATTGGGAAGGAGCCGGCGTGAGGGGCCCAGAGACCCCGGGGGGAGCAGCTCGTAGGAACTGATGGATTTGAGAAGGGAAAACCTGTAGCTGTCCCATTTTCCTGCTGCTGGAGGGGCTGGGAGGTGCCAGTGGCCTCATCCAGCCTGTGCTGGAGCCCATGGGGAGCACAGGAGCAGCACTGGGAGCAGGACAGGACCACAGCAAAGCCCGGCTCCCAGCCCTGCCAGGATCATGGAATGGTTTGGGTTGGAAGGGACCTTAAAGATCATGAATCACAGAATCATTAAAGTTGGAAAAGACCTCTAAGATCGTCCAATCCAACCATCAACCCAACACCCCCATGCCCACTAAACCATGTCCCAGAGTGTCCATGTCCACAGGATTTTTTGAACACCCCCAAGGATGGTGACTCCACCACCTCCCTGGGCAGCCTGGGCCAGGGACCCACCTCTGAGGAGCTCTGGGCTCCCTGGGCACTGCCAAACCTGTGCCAGTTCTGGGCTGTGAGGGTGGGGAGAGCCTGGCCCAGGTTGCCCAGGGAAGCTGTGGCTGCCCCATCCC